TTTATACACAGCGATAAAAAGATAAATTAATAATTTCTTGCTCCTGCAGCACACACTAGTTCTCTGTTTAGGATTGCCACTGTAAGTGGGCGTAACAATTGGTATCACTACAACGGACATGTTTTGAGTTATACAAGAATATCTAAATTTGGAATAAATTAAAATAATGTCCTGGTTGAAATTCATGTTCATATTCAATACCATAGCCAATTCTGACACGATACAACAGTGATAATCAGTAGTTTGTGTTTCTTTTACTCTGTAAAAACACCTCTACCGATGTATTTTTAAATATTGTACGATGGGTCGCGGCCCAGTACTGAATAAAGATTGATTGATAAGATCATCTGTACAATAAGCTAATATATATTCAGAGTAAAGCAACACAGGAAAATTGAAAAATATTGTTAAAAATACCCGTCGTTATATACATTGGATAGCCAAGGTTAAGAATGCCATATGTTCACCCCTCATATTGTATTCAAACAAAGCATATACAGCGCGCATGATAATCTCAAAAACATATAATTAGTTATGCTTCAGTTGAGTTCAATAATATTATATTATTATATGGTTTATATGGTTATAATATATGCTCCTGAAACACACATTGGTTCTCTGTTTATTATTACCACTGTAAGTGGGCATAACAATTGGGTATCACTACAAAAGACATGTTTTCAGCAGTGCACGAATATCAAATGAACGTTTTATTGGCATATTTTTTTCTACATTACTGATATTTGGAGTATGCCATTTTGATACTGCTATAATTATATATGTTTATCTGAGAAAATTAAATTTGGAATAAGTTAAAATTATGTCCCTGTAGAAATTCATGTCCATATGGAGTACCATAGCCAATTCTGACAAGATATAGCAGTCATAAGAACATCTGTACAACAACTAAAGTATAATATGAGTAGAGCAACACACGAAAAATTGAAAAATAATGTTAAAAATATTCGTCGTTATATATACAAACCCTTGACTGGGTTGCCAGTAACCTATAGTAATTATCAAATGGAATGATGGTAAGTCATATAAACCTATGACTGTGTTTCAAGTAACCTATATTAATACATCCTTGACTGGGTTGCCAATAATATATACCAATAATCAAATGGAATGAAAAAAGAACATACAAATCATTGACTAAATTGTCATTGACCTATACTAATACAAAATGGAGTGCGGGTAAGCCATACATTCCTCTGGACTCGATTGCTTGTAAGCCATACCAATAATTAGTTGGATTGTCCTTGTGGAGAATAACAATTGAAAACATGTGTTTGTTTTACTCTATTTTGGTTTGTTTATGTGGGGGAAAGTGTATAGTCGTTATTACCACTCGTTCTTTGAATTATCTATAATCAATTTCGAATTTGTGTACATTGCCAATCTCGTATATGTGCGCTATAGCCCCGGAATGTGAATGCGAAATCTCGAGCAGGTAGTGCATGACGGGTAAATTCCGACTCTTCAAACTCAAAAATCCACAATCAAACCACGTTTAACCATGCTTTAATTATGTAAACGGGTATTTGGTAGCGTATGGAAAACTTTTCTGAATATAATTAGCATATTTGGGGCAGATATTATCCCCGGATATTATATCCACTTCCAAATATTATCACTTACTGTTTATAATTTCTAAATAACACTATAGTTTGGATAACTAATATAAAATGACAGACAGCCAGTTCCAGTATTATTACACGGCAATATACCGCAGCATCGAGAATGGAGAATGCACTAACAATTATGTGGAAATGTGAATGCATTGACCCCATCGATTAAAAACGAAACATCTCACGCTACACCCATTTGATAAAACAATTTTTATAAAAACTTAATTTATATGAACATGAGATATGAAGAGAGATCAGAAATCAATTCGCATATTCAAATCCAGGGAGAAAAAAATCACAATTGTTTGCCAAAAGTGGCACAGTTCAGTACCAAAAAACCAGATAGCGGTCATTCCACCAAAATATCGAATTGTGCCTAATACATTGGACAGCTGTCAATAGGCTTAAATTAAATACATACACATATAAATATATATACTGTTTATTATAATTTATTCATGTATGTATTAATGATGTTGGTGGTGGTAAATCCGTGGTCAGTTTGGTTATTTTCATTTTTGGCATTCCTCCGTTTTGCTACTAATAGTGTTATTTGCCGTGTGTTGATTGAATTTGTTCAGAAAAATAATTCCAAACTTATAAATGCCTGATTGAATTTACAAAAGGTTGTGTATTATGAGATCACGAAATATTCCCGTGGGTGTGTATAGCAAACGTTTTAACAATTGTTGAAAATATCCCATAATTTTAAACCATATTCAATAAATATCACATTTGTAACGAACTAATCATTAAAATCTACCATGGAGTTCTTCATACAGAACAATTGCAGTTGTAATATAAAAGTGAAGAATGACAGGGCGCATCCCACCAAACTTTCTTTACTTTAATTTCACATAAAAGTCATCTACGTGCTGCTATTGTTGCATATAACAATATTCCCGGTTGTCTATTGAGAATCTTTGTTTTCGTTGCCATGACAATGATGTGGTGAGTAGCAGGTCATTTTCTGTTTACTGCCTTCAATCCAACGAAAATACAGGGCAAACAAAGGTCATAGCTTTATAGAGGCGTCAAACATCGCGCGGAATATTAATCGTGTTTTGCAGGTTTCAATTGATTTATTGTAACAACTGTGAATGCTGCCACAAAAGTCGACTAAACAATATATTTGTGCAGTATACAATAATAGAGGGCGCTGTTTCACTTTGTTGCTGTCTGAGTGGATTTTATGGCAGCACGTGGTGTTACGTACACTTCAGTAATTTTCACAGCACACTAGGCTAGATAATAATCTAAGTGAATAACAGTTTTTGAAATCTATTTGAAATTTTGAATTATTAAGAAATAAGCCACAGGAAATGTACGCACTCAACTACATGATGGTTGTATCGTCTTTATAAGTTGCGCCGTCTTGTTTGAACACGTTTCTCTGACGTCAACATGATGTAATCATTATCGTTCATATAGGCAAATATCTATGTCGTAGTTATTAATTTAGAACAAAGAAAATATCCCAAAAAAAACAATTATTTTTCTTGACGGACGACTGCACTTCAACAGAATATATATTCTGTGAACGGAATCTCAGACACTTATTCATGCCATAGAGAGCGCGATATGAATTGTGGGTAAGAGTTTCTGAGGAACCCCTCACCCGTAACTCTAATCCACGCCTTGCTCCTCACCATTAAAATGTATATACTCCTCGTTAGAAAAGGCACTAGTATAGTTATCCCGGGCGAATGTTAGTGCTAGGCTTTAGGTTCGAGGTACAGGTTCTAAAGAACTCCTTCCGAATGGTGCACTGACAGTTTGTTATACAAAGAATTCAACAAAATATCATTTTCGTCAAGAAGGGCAACTTGAGTGTAAAATGGCTTTGAGGCATACCCGTTAAAAGTGGAGATTTTGATGGTCTCGGTGAACGTAAGTATATAATCTGAATCATAGTATCGCTTTTTCACCACCATTTCCCTATTTTCTTCACAAATTCACAAAATAGTCTCAGTTATAGTCTGCACGACCCTTCAAAAGAACTTTGTTGAGTTAAAAATGAAAATTGCCTCAAATTGTTTATTTTGGCTCCAACATTATTTCATTTCCGGAAATATAATAAAAAACTTATAAAAAGAATATAAAAACTGTCACACGCAACGTAATATTACCGTAATTGGTATAGTATAGGCGTGATGGTTCAAATACCAAAATGGCAACAGCAACAGAAAGACTTCCCTGGCGGCGATGATAACATGCAAATGAGGTTTCAACTGGTACTGGTATTATTATACTCTGCAAACATCAAGTACAATAACGCGGTAAAACTCCACTACTCCAATAACTAGATACTTAAACTCCAATACAATTCAAGATCTCTGATTTGAACTCAGTGCTGAACAACTACCCTATATATACCCACACTGTCTATAAATAGACCATTACATCAGCATACATAATGAGTCTGGAATTTACTATAAATTTCTAGAATGTTCCATTACCTTATATTGCCTCCTATAGTGTTCTATTACCTATTCAACCAGTTTCTAAAAAAAATCTAGAATATTCCACCCAGACACAGTACGGTTCTGGAACATTCTCAGTGACACGGAAGTGGTAAATAAATCGTATGCGACAAAAACTGACAAAACTGAAAAAATGGCAGAATAATTTGGGCAAAGGTGGGGTGGTTAAAAAGGTTAAAATGGCTAAACTTCAAAAGAAATATAAACTACATCTTAATCGATATTACTATACGTTTATCTAAAAAAATTGTTTTTTACAAATGATATGCAAATGATATGCAAATGATAAGCAAATACGCTGATTTGAATGAGGCAATAATGCATTGAACACCATAGAATATCTTTACAAAAATATTAAAATTTACAGTGTTCTCACCACACGGCATCATTAATATATGTAATTATATTGATCCTTGAATTTTATATACGACTATCAACATCCTAGCCATAACTATTTACATTAATATACATAAAATAAATATTATGTTGGTGCAGTGATTGTTTCTGCATAGTGGACCAATCGCAACTAAGTAACGTACGTTCATTCATTCAGACCTTGACTACATAGTTATAAATGTTCTTTGTGATGTCCGAATTCGACTTCGCCTGCATTACCGTCTAGTCGCTGCGGGCGGTTTTCATTATATGCCATTTAGAATCGTGTTTTGTGACGCAGTGGCTGTAGCGAGGTAGGTAGCGCGTCTGCCTACAATGACCATGGGTTCGACTTCACTGTTTCATATTGTACTGTCTTTTTAAATGTATAATTTATTGCATAATGAACATAAACTGTTTGCAGAAGATTCTCAATTACCTGAGCATGTACTAAATAGTGCATAATATAGAAATATTAACCTCCTGAAAAACCTAATAAAAAATAAAGCTCTCAAAAGACAAACCAATCATTAGTTTTGAGTTGTTTTTTTCGTATTATATTAGTGTATTGAATGTCATCAAACGACATTTTAAAACATTTTTTAGATGCAGTAGTTTTCAGTACATATTTTCTTTCCCGTCGATCTTTAGTATTCATCTTTGATGGGTCAATGCACTCTGTCAATGTTTCTTGCAGTTTACCCCGAAACTGTTTTAAGTCTCCCTCAAACGTAGGCCCGTACTGAGCTATCTTCTCCCATAGTGTTCTGTTGAAATGCTGATAAAGTAGCAAATCTCCCCTATTCCATTTTAAGAGTTTGTCACGTGTCTGTTGCGTAATTATATAATGTGATGCACCCAATCCTTTTGAAATATAAACAATATCGTCCATACTCCAACACAGTTGTTTCTTCATTATCAGTAAAGACTCATCAAAGTATTCCGTGATGAGAACGAGGTCCAACTCCCTGTCTAGAACTTCAATGTATTTGTGGACTCGGTCATCTAATTTGTTACTGGTATCTTTATTTTGTGTTTTAAATCCAAGGTCATAAAGCTGACCGTTGTGACCTTGCCACCAAAACTTCATTTTTCCAGTTAGAAATTTTGTAGGGCTTTCCATGAAAATGGCAAATAAATCTGCACTTCCTCTACGATAAGATTTCACAGCCTTTGTCCACTCAAAGTAGGCGAACGCGGACACCAGCTGATTTACAGGATGACGTAATACAGTGACGTAGGTTGCGTTGGGAATAACAGCCTCCATTTCATGTCGATTATAACCAACATGATTAGTTAATATATCGTAATGTGTCCCACCATTTAGTGGTGGGTATTTGGCTATGTTTAGCATGTTCTGCTTAAAACCATATCTACTTGATAAAACATGACCTCTTGTGGGAACAGCAAATGACAAATTTCGCGAATCACCAAATCGTTGAATGATGGACGCCATTGTGCTACTAGCAGTTTTGTGAGTTTTAATGTACACCACTTTCGTGACTTGCTTACAATCCGTTCCAACATTGCTGAAGTAAAATAAAAAAACAATCTAGAATTATAGTGTGCACACAGTCCACAAATATAACAATTAGACACGGTACAGTGGTGATTGAAAGTGAAAGTCAAGAAAAATTTACAAAGCTTCCAATATTTAAGTGGTCGAGACATACATTCGCAAGCGTGTAATTTTGAAGGGGGAAATGATTGTTACATTAAGCTTTTCATTTTGCCATCGACAAAGTAAATATTTTCTGAAAGCTTTTGTGTAAAAAACAACATACGGATTGGATTTGTTACATTTTCTTCTTTATTCAGTTCATCATTATTATTATCATTGGAATTGAGCTCGAATTTGAACTTAACCTAATGTTTAATGATCTCAGTAAATGACTTACCTTAAACTTCCATGGGTAGGTTCAGGTGAAGTGCTTGAACGATTTTCAATTTTTTGTTCGATGTTAAAGTCAGCCAGTGACAGATTTCTAGAATAAAAAATAATCGAAAGTTATACAGACGTTCGAATTATACCAAGACGTGTTCAATTAAACTGCTTCTCGTGGCAGACATGACTTCAATATCTATAGATTCACAGTCGTCACACACAACACGTTTATTTTTTTAGAAAACAATTAATTCATCTGTATCTGACCGAATGGCCTCCGAAATCTGATTAGTGGTTTGAGACCTGAATTCGAACATTTAAGGCCAACATTGACATTTACCACGAATTACCGTGTGATGGCGCTATATGGCACATAACATGGCGAATTTGACAACTTTTTCTGAATAATATTAAATAATGTCTCCACGATCCGTGGCTGTTACGGCCAAGTGAATTTTTGATATTTTCTGGATCTAACATTTTTAGTTTTTTACATAATTTCCACTGATGAATTAGAGTAAAGTATTCACAATTTCAAAGTTTAGCCGCAGTTTCAATGTTGTGCTTGTGGTGCAACATCGCCCTTTAAAAAATAGGATTTTGAAATGAACAACAAAAATCAAAGTTCTATTTTCAACTTAAGGCTGTCAAGGGCCCAAGGAAATTAATAATAGGTATAAGGCAAGTGGAATGAACAGTGTATAGAGTCGGTGATCTTCTCACGCTTCGTCTACAAGATTATCTCGTGGGTGACCTGCAGTGTACACTGTAAAAACTTTTTCATTTTATGTAGCCCAATTTAGTTGTTTGACTGGGAATTAGAAAATAGAATAAGGCTGGGGAGGTCTGAGTTATTTTCTGGTACATTTCAGTATTTGAGGCAGCATGTGGAGATTTGTTGGCATAATTAGACAGCGAAAGTAACGAATACAATGTTGCGTTCACGCCATTGATCAACTGGTCATTTGGTCGTCACGTGACTATATTCCAGTCAAACCATTTTTTGAAACATTGTTCACGATCATTATTATCCCTCTTTCTGAAATGTTAAGATTCCAGAAAATATTAGAAATTCCTCTGGTCGTCACTAGCCACGCACTCGGTCATTAGACACGGACCCTCCGTGGACAGATATCAAAATATATCAAAGCATTTCCGCACTGTAATGATGCCACCAGTCGCTAGAGGGCGTATAAGAAACGATGTCTTAAATATTAGAAGCGCAAAACGATTAAAATCTCTGTTTTAGTGGTTTTCCTTAATCTGTCATGACGTTCTTCAAAATATCATTTTGAAAATGCGTTTTGTGGTCGACTTTGTTTGGTTCATTTTTATTGTTATCATTGGTATTGAGCCCGAATTTGAACTTGACTGTATGTTTAATGGTCTTGGTGAAAACGACTTACTTTAAACTTCCCTGTGTAGGTTCAGTAATAGAAGAATTTTTGTCGTTTTTCAAGTCAGCTAGTGATCGATTCCTAGAAGAAAAAAATAATCGAAAGCTATACGCGTTCGAACAATGCCACCATATGTTTAATTCAAACACTTTCTCATGGCAGACATTGCTTCAATATCTATATATTCAAACATTGAGGCCAATTTACATAGCTCTAATATATTCAAATTACTGAACGCATTCTGTGAAAGCATGGAAAACAATCGCTGCCGGGATCTCGTTGATAGCGAGAGAGCTACGAAGCTCGGTTTTGTTTTTTAGAACACTATTTGTCGGGGAGGTTCTCATTCTCGCTCTCCGCGAGATCCAAGCAGCCATTTGCTTCTAAGGTGTGTTATGGTAATTTTGAGTAGACTTACTGTATACTTGACTGTGTTGGTAGAGACACAGTCACGTTTATCAAACCATGTGCCGGCCGTAATTCCTGCATGTTCCTGTATGTTGGTTGCTTTCTTGAAAAAAGAATAAACATATTTTTTACTCAGTCACAGTCAATGTATTTTTTCATTTCATTTTTCATTTCTGGTGTTTTTCTAACCATGCACATTTGCCTACCGCGCTCACATCACCTGGAAATATTGCATGATTTGTCCATCGCCTGATAATGTATAAGCAATGACGTAACACAATGTCAAATACGGCAATGGTATGATAGTAGAATTCTGTGTTGGATATCTGCAACTAAATCTCGCAAACAGTCATATAGATGAGATCTCGTGTATTGCGTAAAAGCCCGGAATGTCAAAATGCACATCTTTCTCGGAGAAGTTTGGTGTTGAGATACCCTTAATCCCTCAAAATTGACCGTCATCAAATTTGTATAGCACATTTATATAAGCGTGGAAATACCAAACAAATGATTTTTCGTTTTTTTATGGGATGAGATCGGTGCCAAAAACATTTTTAGAATTTTACCATATTGTTCACATTATTTTTTTTTTCATTTTGATAGCTTTTCTTTTTTCCATCATTATGTTCACATTTTTATTTTGTTATCATTATGTTCAAATCATTTTTTAGCACTTTTACATTATTTCATCATTATGGTCACATTTGTATCGTTATTTTATCATTATGTTATATTTTTTTTTTCTTTATTTCATCATTATCATTTTCATGTTATTTTATCCTTATTGTATTCTTATGTTTTCGTTCTGTTAGCATTTTTACATTATTTCATCATCATTTTGTTCACATTTATATATTAGTTTGTCACTGTGTTTTCATTATGTTAGAATTATTTGACATGTCTTATCTGTCTAATTATGATAATTTATGCATGGTGAACAAACTCCCTAGATTAGCGTAGGCGCGAGTACATGCGAGTAGTTGTCCTTGGTTTGAAACTACGCGTTTGTGGCATAAATATATTACTAATGTACTAATGTAATGTACTTATGTACTAACACAGCATAAACATAAGCTTTCTTTTATCTGCTGACAATTATTCATAGCGAATTTACTAAATCAAGTCGAAGCTAATTATAATAGATAAGTTAGGTGGTATTATACACACACGTAGCGGGGAAAATGTCATTTGCGCCAGGTATTGTGTTTTCTCCCTTGGCAAAAGTGGCCAAAATCGGGGAAGCATGTAAAGCTGCTGAAACTGTGTCACGATCGCCGCTGCCGGATTGAAACCAATCCTGGTTAGAATGTTCAAAGAATGTTTCAAATGGTAGCTCATCGTCGCGTCCGCTGACTCCGGCGCATATACTCTCCGCACGGCGTTCAGACATCAGACATTAAGACATCAGAGATGAATTGAGTCAGTGTTTCTGTCCGAGAAGAAGAAGGGGTCGCTGTGGAAATCGTGAGGGGAATATGCCAGCAAGTTCTCGACCGACATGTTCTCATTGGCCACCACAGGCCAGGATTGGATACCGTCCACACAGGAGCGGCGTATTCTGTCACAAGCTGGATTAGGAGGAAGAAAATTGCACATGCCAATAGATTTTTCCGGCCGGGATTTTATTTTATTTTTGCACAATGCCTTCCTCAAATTAAACTCTACAGGGAGGGGGAGAAATATGCAAATCCTCAAGAGGTTTTAGAATAATTGTCCCTTTGAAGGATACTCACATAAATGCATTGCATTGGAAGCAGGGCAGGCGACGCTGTAAGTGAGACCCATCCAGAAAGTTCTTGATTTAAAAATGCTAACAAAATGAAAAAATAATGTGAAGTGAAGTGTGAACTCAATCATGAAATAATGTGAACATAAAAAAAATCATAAAAATGTGAACATATTAATGAAATAATATAAAATTGTGAAGATACTGATCACATAATGTAAAAATAATGTGAAGATAATGATAAAATAATATAGAAATGGTAACATTGTTGAAATAATTAAAAAATGTTAACAAAATGAAAAATAATTCGAACATAATGATAAAATAATAAAAAATGTGAACATAATGATGAAGTAATAAAAAAATATTAACATATTGATGAAATAATTAAAAATTGATCACAAAATGAAAAAATAATAATTAAATAAAATAAAAAAATTGAACATATCGATGAAATAATTGAAAAGGCAAATAATGTGTTTGTTATTTCTCGACACTGTGTTCATGCGTTGAACATTGAATGACGCAGTATATTCTGTCACCAATAAAAAAATATGTGGCATGCTTACTCACTTCATGAAGATCACTAAATTATCAGCATTTACGACTACGTATACGAAGGTACAGATGGCAGCTGACAATGCAAACAATAGCGCGTACACACGACGTACGGAGCAGCCCAACATGATGTGTTTTGTACTTTCTTCAGCTCGAAGGAGTTGTTATATCAAATATCAGCATCTTTGTAAAAGTGTGTCTGTGGTTAAAACAAAGAAAACGATATCGATTACACAAATATGAATATGGAAGAGACATTCAAGTGCATTAACAAACAAACAAACAAACAAACAAACAAACGTGCTGTCTTTACGAACTTATTAACACAATATCAGTATTTCGCTTTATGGCTACAATGAACATGTTAGTGCGTCCAGGGGGTGAAGGAGAATGTTTTGTAGGTGACAAAACCGAGCAATTAAAACATTCATATCAGCGTCTCAATTCTTTATTTCAAATGGGAAACTCCTTACGGAACCTGAAGTGAAACGTGTAAATTTCGTTAGTGTCCATAGTGACTGAACGAAAGTGACACTGGGTGTGCGCATGTGCACGGTGCATTAATAGGTATCGACATCCAATCCCAAGCGATCCACCGGCGTAAATAAAACCACTACATGCGATGTTTCGTTACGTGTATTGTCATAGAGGCAGAATAGCGGCTGCTCGTTATAGCACACCACGAGCGACTAATGAGTTTTTAAGAATGATATGCCGGGCGTCGTTAATTTCAACTGGCCTAACTTGACTGCCACACAATATGTTAGTTGAAATATAATTGCTTCATCCACACGGAGTAGGAAAAATATAATATTAAAAAGTATATTACGAAACATAGTATTTTCTTTACTCCTTCTGTAAAATGGAATGTTTATCAAAAGTTGCGTTCGCGTACATAACCTTAGCATGGGCTACTAGTACGAGGTTTAAAAACCTAGTCCGTGCTAAAAAACCGCTCATCACGGACTAAGAAACGCTGAGACCCGGTTCAGATCCTTAGCACGGGCTAATGAATTGTGTGCGAACGTGGCTAAACGCCCGAAACGCCATTGTATTTAGAATATTTACTATTATATGTATACCTATCCATTTTGGTATACTATTTCCGATATAACAATCAACGCGAGTAGATCTAGGGATATTGTTCTCGAGAAAAAAATAACTGACAATGAAATACCAGTTCCTGTTATTCTGAAATCTGCAGTTTCTGTATTTGCTGTGGAATATTTTATAGCTGCGAAACTAACATGTAGTTTATAGGACTCACGATTAGTTTATTAAGTTTGGACGTTCTTTAGCCCGTGCTAACCGTTGTTTCTCCCCGTGTGTGTGAACGCAATTGGGTCTAGCCAATGAGCAAACATTCATATGTTAAATATCAACCCGTACTTGGTGCAGCCAGTACACGACTAATGGTCTTTATCAAAATTAATGTTTGCTTGGTAAACATCAGTGTACATTGCCAACGTACACATGTACAGTGCGCAAGTAGGTACTAAACAGTTAGTAAATATTGAATAGTTATTCTCACTAATTTGTCATTTTGTGCATAATTAATTACATTTTGTGTTTGACATCACTTCAAATAAATGCTATTATCAATAAATAACCTAGTTTAACCATACGGCCAAGTTGCAACGAAGTGTGTGACCCCACTGACTAAATGGTCGTTCTGTTCAGCTAGGTTTTATTCCCGTTATCATCAATATATTGTCGCGTGATTAGTTCTATCTTATTTATAAAGTTTTAAGTATCTTTATTGTGGCAAAAGTTAAAGTTCTCATTATATTTTATTGAAGAAATCACCAAAAAAGATAAGTCTAAATCCTAATTGACCGTATTTGACAAGTCATGACACAACCCTCAATAATTACAACTGTGTAAAAATGCATTATACATTATGTATGCTAGAGTTGAAGGTAGAAGTTTATGAACTGTTAAAACATTAATGAATCGGACTCTGTGGCGTCATTAGTTCCAAGGAAAATAATTCCTTCTCTAGCAATAGAACCGGCATATATCAGTGATACCGGTCGTCGTTAATATCGACTGACCTACTTTGATAGTTCAACTGACGCTACCTGTGGCTGATATGCCGGTATGTTTTGGCGGTCACAATACGTAGATGAAAACATTGTTATTTAGATCTGATATAGTGTCATCGTTTACTCCTATTGGGTTGATGTCGGATATTACTTAAATAAAATAGTTTAAGTAGGCTTACCGCATTACTCCAAGCCGCTGTGGGATTCACATGGATGCTGACATGCGGCTACCATGCCAGGAGAATTTTAATATATCACACACGATTGCGTAGTGTTCCGTGATTGGCCAAAATGATAACACGTGCTGAGAACTCGTTTTGTTTACTTGGGCGTCTGACATGCCTTTCAATGGGTCTCAGGTATTTAGGTCAACGTTGGCATGGTATTACACACGCTGGGAATTAAATACCTGTCTTTGGAATAGGCTATGTGAATTTGTGATCATCATTGTAGTTATTGAATTTTATTAAATGTACTAAAAGGAAAATAGGTGTAATATATTTTTCAGTTGATCAGTCTTAATAACGGACTGGCATCGGGTCGTGCTTATTGTCATTAAAATGCGTTATTGTTTACGACGCGTACAAGCTCGAGGCTAATTACTTCCGAAAAATAGTTTAGAGTGATATCATGCAAGACGAGATCAGAAAACAACATGTTGCACTCTACATCGGGCCCAATAACGAACAACTAATCCGTACCTAATGACTGTGTTATAGGACGGTGGTCGTAACAGATGCCATAATCAGATG